ACTTTCTCCCCAGAACGCCATGGACTGTGGCCCATCCCCTCCAAAGGGTAGATCTTCACTGACCCGCACGCTTGCCATACTGCCGACAGCACCCTCTCTGGGGCCTTGGCCTGTGTAGAGCCTCAAAAATCCTTATCCCCAATCCCACAAATCACATTCCTCAGACCTCATTCACCCCACGAGGCGGAAACTACCACCATCCCACCCTCTGACCTTACCCCATGAACTTCCCTTTGACCTTCAACCCTTCCTCCCAAACCTTCTTACCTTCAACATAAAATATCAAATTCCAAAGCCCTTTAACCATCTAATTCTATCTGATGTAGTAATTGACTCCTGGACCCTTTGATTCCTGTTTTAATTCCTAATGCTGACCCACTAACCTCCCTCCCCCCTAACATATTAAAACCTTGATCCCTAAATCTTTGACACCACTTACCACCTCCCCACGCCTCCTATTTCCTCCCTATCATCCCCAACCCCAAAACTTCCTTCTTACAGTATGGGATGTTCTGACAACTCCCCGCCCCTATGTCTTCCAATGTCCTCCCCTATCCTCCTTTTCTCCGTATTCTCTTTTCCTTCTTCTCTCTCCCTCTATCTCTGTGATGATCTGGTCTCTCTGCCTCTTTACCTGCCACTCACCCACTCACTGAGTCGCTCTTTTTCTGTGTACTTCTATCATTTTCTTCTCCTCTGGTTCTTTGACATCTGTGTCCTCTCACTCTTTTTCTGACTTTATCTGTCCATCTGACTCTTCATCTCTTTTCCTGGCTCCATCTCTCCCTTTCCCTGTCTCTCTCTTGCCCTTCTTTCTCCGTGGCCCGGGCCCCAGTTCTGAACCAGCTGGAGGAGTTGCTGAGCGACATGAAGGCAGACGTGACCCGCCTGCCGGCCACGCTGTCTCGAATACCCCCCATCGCAGCCCGCCTTCAGATGTCCGAGCGCAGCATCCTCAGCCGGCTGGCCAGCAAGGGCACGGAGCCTCACCCCACACCGGTAACCTCCTTCCCCTCTAAATCCATTCTCCCTGTTGGTTTACATACTTACATGGAATCCTATACAACATGGAAAACGACTTACTCTAGTATTCTCATCACCCTCGAGTCTCCTTATGTTATACCCCTCAGTAGTTCTAGAGTTTGGTCCTTAAAGTTTTCCCTTCAGCTTATTTCCTTTCAGACTGTGGACTCTCTAACTTGGGTTCCCTCTCTATTCCAGGTCTTTCCCCCGGGTCCCTACGCCACACCCCCGGGGTACGGGGCGGCCTTCAGCTCCGCTCCCGTAGGGGCTCTGGCCGCCGCAGGCGCCAATTACAGCCAGATGCCTGCAGGGTCCTTCATCACAGGTCAGCTGACTCCTTCTCATTTCTCCTTTTCCATGTTTTTCCCTGCTCAGCTATCTTTTACTGCTCCAGCCCATCTCATTTCCTTGGAAGTACCCCGTGTTTTATGGAATGGAGTTGTTCTGGGGTTTATTCTTAGCTTCTCTTCCACTTCCTTGCTCAGAAAACCTCATCTAAGGTTT